CTCACTCACTCACTCACTCACTCACTCACTCACTCACTCACTCACTCACTCACTCACTCACTCACTCACTCGCAGAATGATCACACCAGCGGCCTGCGGAACAGGGCGCGCACGCCTGCCTCCCGAAGCTGAGCTCGTGCCTGCAGTCCCTGACCAGGTGCGTGCGAGCGGATGCATGCGCGTGCGAGCGGGAACTGGAGGTGGAAGGGCCACCAGGCCGCCTTTCCTGGAGAAGGACGTACTGGAAAACACCTTTGGGCGGGAATGAGACTGGTGCCCGCTGCTGTCCTGCGCGTAGGCCGTAGATGGCAGCAGAGGCCCGCGCTGCGAGGCACCGCCGGCGCAGACTCGGGACCGCTCCCACCTGACTCTAAGTAAGCTTTCTCTACGGGACTGTTTCTCTTCTTTAAAATGGGGGTGGGAAAGCGGCTTCAACATATTTAAGGGCTCCCTTAGTGGAGGAGGCTTAGCATGAAGGAGATCATATGCCAATGGGGAAGCCACAGAGAGAATACGGAATAGTATTGTTATTTTTTGCCACCGGGGAGAGGGGACGACTTTTAAAAGAACCGCACCAGCGCCGACGGTAAGGTGAAAACTCAAGGAATCTAATCCGAGGGGAGCTGAGGACGTCTGGTGCAAGGACGCTGTGCTTCCAGGGAGAAAGCCCACGGCCAGGTGCACAGGTTCTCAGAGTGGCGATGAGTTCCTGGGAGAGGCCACTCCGCCCAGCCTGCTGGCACACGGTCAGAAGTCGGGCTGCTGGCAGTGGGACACCACTAGGGAAGTAGGGAACCTCCAGCTAAGCAAGCCAGACTGCATGCCCCACCCCCCTGGCCCCATAGGAGCAAACAGTCCGACTGGGGGGGCGGGTACCTGGTGCTCCCAGGAAAACCAGACACCCCGTTCGCTCCTCTGTCACCTCTGAGGTTTCCTGCAAAATTCAGGGCTCCGACAGACGCCTCCGGGCTGGGGCGGGTGGGTGTAGGGCTCCTCCCGGGATGGCCCATAGGGGAAGGAAGTTACCACCCTCCAGAAAGGCCGCCCCGCCGCCCTTCCTTCTGCCCAAGTCCCGCCCTGCCCTACGCGGGGCTGCCTGGCCCTTTAAGGCTCTCTGAGCGGGGCCCCAAGTCGGGGTGACGCGCTGGGGCGGTCACGTGGCCGTGGCCACAGGACTCTTCGGCAGCCGGCCAGCCAGCCAGCCAGCCAGCCGGGCACTCACTCACCTACACTCTGCGCCCAAGACTGCCACAACTTCTCCGTGCCTTCACCAGGTGTGCCACGGCCACCAGGTAAGCCCTCCTCAGGTCCCCTCGGGGATCCGAGCTCGGGGACCCGTGGCCACCTTCTCTGGGTCTGCCACGTGCCCGGCCAGTCACAGTTTGCTAGGGTCTGGCTGTGCGACCACCCGTGGCAGCTGTACCCGCACAGTTTGCCCGGCATAACTCAGGGGTGCCAGGATCAGGGCGTGGAGGCGAAATCTGGGCGGGCCTCACTCTCAGTCCCTCTCCTTCAGGTGGTCCTAGTCGCTCCAGGCTGGGGCCGTCTCTGTGTGCCCCTCGGGGGCCATGGACGACAAGACAGAAGCGGAGCAGGGCTGGGGAGTGCCCCCACCAGGTGCCCCCCCTGGACACGGTTTCTCAGGCGACCTGGCCTCCGGAGTCCGGCGGACACCCAAGAAGTACGCGGTGACTGAGGAGTACCAGCTGTCCAAACAGGTGCTGGGCCTGGGCGTGAATGGCAAGGTGCTCGAGTGCTTCCACCGGAAGACGGGGCAGAAGTGCGCCCTCAAGGTCAGTGCAGGGCTCTGCTGCGGCCTGTTCGGACCCTGAGGGTCATGGTTGAAACCTCCTAGCCTCCACACCAAGTCTCACCCTCTGCTACCTGTTTGGCAGATGAGGAAATTGAGTAGCTAAACTGTGGGCGTTCCTGTCGGCATAAGGGGTGGGGTGCTTAGGGGCAGAGAAGGCGTGCCTGATTTCTCCCGGCTTCTGGCCCCGCATGGGTGTGAAGTCCCCAGGGGTGGGCCTCACTCAGCGTGGGTGCCCCTGTGGTGATCAAGTCCTTTGGCCAGAGATTCCTTCCGCCTCAGACTGAGGGTCTGGCAGGACTTGGGGAGGGACTGCCCCCTACCTGTGGCTCCCTACCTGCCAGGGCTAGGAACCTCCTGGGGCAAGGTTGATGCTTAGATCACAGCCAGCATGGGCAGCAGGGGGCTGCTGGTGGGCCCCTGCTGAGTCACTAGTCCCCCGTTGAAAGCCACAGGCCCTGATCCCAGCCCGGCCCACTCTGCCTTCTGGGCAGAGGCAGCCAACCATTTAGTCAGGACACAGCTCGCGCTTACCGAAGGCTTGGCCCAGGGCTTGCTGATACGGGTAGAACCGGGCCCCTAGGAGCGGATCCTCTCACCATGAGGTTCTAATGCCAGTCACACAATTCTGGGCCCGGGACCTCATCTCATACCCAGAATCCCTCAAATCTGTCATTGACCAGAGAACTTTGCTCATCTACAGCTTGTGCTCATAGCTGGAGGGGTGGAACCTGGCTGGCAGAGTGGCTGCTAGAGGTTAGAAGTTTAGCAGAGGCTCCCGAGTTATGATTATGTGCCTGAGCGGTGAGTGCTTCAGCTAGGGCTCTCTCTGATCACTGCCCTGTGTTTGCCGAGCAACGACCTGGATTCCGGAAGCCGGGTTTCCTCACCTATTCAGGGAGAAGCCATGGCAATGAGATGAGACGCTCTGAGTGCTTGGGGCTGGCCCTGGCACAGGCGGGAAGGCCTACAAGAGCTGTCTAGGGCACACAGTCTGGCTTTGCCGGGGCCACTAAGACCCCTGGAGGGCTGATGTCTTCAGGGTTGCCTTAGAGGGCATCTGAAGATGGGGAGTCCAGGGCTGGTGGGCCAGACCGAGGCAGGGCTGCTTCCATCACTGGCTGAGCCATGGGACGGGCGAGGGACCGTGTGGAGTCCTAGGCTCACACTTCTGGGCTTCGGAGACAGGCATGTCCGCAGGAAGGAGTGCCTTTGGCCATCGGTTTCGATTGGCCGAGCTTCTCTTTCGGCTGGTGATGAGAACTAGGATGGGGAGTAGAAACTGCTCCTCGTGCCCACCCAGTCCCTCAGGCAGTGCCCAGGGCACATGCCAGGGCCCAGATGCAGCTCTGCGGGAAGAGAAGCCGGTGAGGATTGGGACTTTGCACCCTTGCTCACTCCCTTACTCTGCCCCACCTTTTAATTAATATTAAAGATATGATATTCTATTGAGTTTGGGGTACGCATATACACAGCAAGTGAGGACCCATTGGACACTCTCCGCAAATGGGGACATGACGCACCTCTAACATTCTGTCACCTTCCGAAATGCGTTGTAGCATGAAGGAGATGAAGGTGTACAGAGCAGCCCGTTCGGTTCACCACATCCAACGCTGCACACACGTGCCGGTCTTACCATCCACTGCAGTCCCTTCAGGGCCCCATCCGTAACCCCACCCCCACCCCGTGTTTCCTCTTCCTGTTCCTCCTCCTTCCCCCCCCCTGAGCATCGCCTTTGGGCCAGGGAGGCTTTGGGGAAATGGTGGATTGCTCATGGACATGGGCAAGGGGTGGTTCTGTTCCAGACGGAGGTAGGGCTGCGGCCTTCCGTCTTGCGGGTCCCCCCACTCCCACCCCTCTCTCTCTCCAACCAGTAAGCCGGCCTGCTCTGCCATGGTGTTCCAAGAGCTACCCTTCCCAGGATGCGATTTCTCCTTGTCTCCCCAGGTGGACATCTGAGTGGTGATGTCGCTGGTTTCGAAGGAGGGCACCAGCCTTATGTGAAATGTCCTTTCTCTCCTGTGCCGCTTTGCTCTTCAGGGAAAAGGCGACCTCAGGGGATAGACTCAGTTCTAGGGTTAAAGACTGTCTCGGGCAGTGGGCTCAGGGGCTCCTCGGCTCTCTGCTGTCCCTGTCTGGATTTCTCGTTGTTTTAAACGTGAGTTTGAGTTTTGCTCCATCACTTTCTCCCAGGCAGCTAGGGTTGATGCTGGTGCCCCCGTCAGAATGGTCAGGGGTGGCAGCCGGGCACCGTCTAGTTCTTCTGTCATTGAGAACGATGGTTTTGGACGTGCCTTGGATGGGTGAGGGACCCCATCGAGCTGGCAGCCTGCCTCTCAGTTCCAAGGTTTTGGCCCTGTGAGCCGACGGGGCTGAGGTCGCAGATGCCGAGGGCAAGGCGGGGAAGGGGAAGGAGGTGAGCGTCCTTGGACCCACTCACTTTCGTGGGGCTGGGCCTAGCTCCTTCTCCACAGGTGTGCCCACCTGTTCATCCATGACTGGCTGGGGAGGAAGGGGGAGGACTTCAGTTTTCTGACCATAGAGAACAGGCTCTGTCCTCTCTCCCTTCGGGTTTTAAGGGTCACTGTGGCTGGAGGTTGTCGCCCCAAGCCGATCCCCACAGAGGCATGTGACGATGTGGAGATGGGGCCCCCACCCTGGAATCTTCATGGTTCCTCTTCTCTGCCCCTTCACTGATCAACCTGGAAGACCCCACCCAGCGAGGCCAGGCCCTCTCTACCTCTCAAAGGGTCCTGGAAGACTCAGGCCTAGTCATGGACCTTACTGTGAGCGACTTGTGGCCGTGAGAGGGGTGCTGTCATCTCTTGGCTGCATGACTTTTGCCCCTCGCCCAGTACTGTCCACGTGCCCCTGGCCAGAACCTGGGTCCTGCATACGTGGGCGGGCCTGGGCCCAGAGAGTCCCCGTCAAATGGGCCCCACCCCTCTCCTCAACTGTCCCGGCTCCGCCAGTGTGGGCACCACACACTCTGCTTGGTGTCCCCTGGCTCCCCAGGACTGTACCCCAGGTCTAGGCGGTCCAGCGAGGAGGAGCTGCCCTTTCTGGCAGTCCCAGCCTGGGGCCCTGCCCTCTGTCCGTGACCACCCTCCCAGCCCTGTTGCCCAGCATGGCAGCCAGCGTGAGCACGGAAACTGGGGCGCAGCAGATACTCACAAAACAGGAAGAGCTGTGGCCACTGTCCTGGCAGCTGCCACTGCTCTGTGTGGGCCCTCAAGGGGCAGGGTCCGTGACCTCTTCCCCTTTCCCCAGCTGGGTCCCTCAGCTGCCCCTCCCAAGGCCAGGGGCTGGCTCAGCCATTCCACCCTCTGGTCCCGAGTACTGGCTGCCCTGCAGGCAGGGATTGGATTCCGAACCGTAGGAGCTGTGCTGCAGAGAAGGGCTTTTGAGGGGCAGTGGACTGCCTCTTCTGACCTCTTGCTTGTGCCTAACTGGTTAGTTGGCATCCCTCACTAGACACAGCCCGGAGGTCCTCTGGGCCTATCAACCATCCCGCCCCATCCGAGAGCCAGCCCCTCCAACCTCGCCATGTGTGTGGGAGCTGGAGCCAGAGCGGCTGGTCAGATGGCACGCGGGGGCTTGATGGGAGCTGGGCTCTCCTCGCAGGACAGGGTTCCCTCTGCTCCTGACTTCCTCCCCAGACCAACTGTGCTTCTCAGCTCCTGGCAGGCAGAAGGGGCCAAAACACTGCCAGGCTCAAAGGGAAAGGCCCCAAGGAGACACAGGTTCTGCCTGTGGTGGGAGAAGTGGGCCCTTCCCTCTGGGCTCTGGGCGCAGGCCCCTCCCCCCTCTGCCTCTGGGGCCTCAGCTTCCCTTTTCTGCAGGGAGCGTTGCCTGGTGGGCCTCCATAGATCCACATGCCTGGACGTCCCCTGCCAAATCCTCTGGGCAGAGTCCCTGCGGCCAGTGTCCCCTCTCTGGGCCTCCGGGTCTGGGGATGCTGCCCCTCCGCCTGGAGACAGTGCTGGTGTCCCGTGCGTCTGGCCGTCAGGGTCCGCTCTGTGTGCCAGACGGCACGGAGGACACTTGTATCCTTCAGATGGGAAACGGAGTTCCAGAAACCAGGAGAGTTTGCCTGTGGCCACACAGGGATTTGAGGAAGGGGCTTGAGACTGGACTGGACTTATTTCAGCACTCAGGGACTCTGAGGTCCAGGTGGATCGTGGGTGACAGCTTTCCCTCTCCTGCCCTGAAGGACCTTCCTGTGTCCATCAGGGCTCAGCCCCACTGGCCCCTCTGCCAGGAAGCTGCCCAGAGTGGCTGGCGTTGGGACCTGGACGGGATTTCCTCCCCAGAGCGTTCAGGAGCCCCTGTGGCTCAGTGCTCCCTGTGGCCTCTGGGCCATTCCGGGCTGGGGGAAGTCCCTGCTGTCCCGCTCCTGGCCAGGGCCTGGCCTGCAGACTCGTGTCTGTGGATGAGAGCCGAGCTTGGGTCTCCGAGGCAGTGACCCTTCTGAAGCAGGTTGTGGGGTGTTTGGAGCACCCTCCAAGCTGCCGGGGGGGGGGATGGAGGGGGGCTCAAACTGCCCTCCTTGTGGCTCTCGATGTTTGTGCCACCTGGGGACACCAGGACGGGTTCAGCCATGCTGGTCCCTCCGAGCTAGAAGTGAGATGTCCCCCGGGTTTCTTCCTGCCAGTGAGGGGAGCTCTGATGGACTCCTGGGAGATAAAACCACAAGTGCTGCCACTTCACTGGCGCCAGGTCTGGGCCAGGGGTCCCTCTATCGGTCCCCAGGAGACAGAGAGGACTTTCTGCACCATGTGAAGTTTGACGCCTTGGAAACCCCCAGAGGGGCAGTTCGCCTCGGTCCTGTAGCTTCACTGTGAGTCGGCATCGACTCGGGTTGACAGTGAGCTTGGTTTGGTTTGGAGCCAACAGAGGCTTCAGGGAGGCTGGCCCCTGCCGCTCCCCCGTCTCCTCTCTGCTACTTGCTAGCCCCTCCACTCAGAAGTGGGCATAGAGGCC